TGGTGTTCTCATCATATATTATGAAGTTGGGCTATGGAATAGTAGTTTATTTTCTTTTCTTTTTTTTTTTTCAATTTGTGTAGGTGTAGGAATATGGCAAGTTCATCCTCGCAACACACTCGCAAACATCTTGATTCGGGTCCGGTTGAAAAGGACTTGTTATATTTTCAAGATAAGCATAGGTCTAAAGTTGTCTTTAAAGATAAAGCTCCAAAAATTAAGTCGAATAGGTTGAAATGTAGGAGATTTGATCACCAATTTTGGACAGCTCTAAAAGATGCCCCTCAACATGTAATAGATAGGATTAGCCGAGCCGGGTTTGGGGGATCCTAAAAGTTAGGAAAATTACCCTTGATCATGTGGTAATAAACTGCCTTGGTGGAACGGTGGCGTCTTGAGACCCACACGTCCCACTTCTATTCTGGCGAGGCCACAATCACCCTCCAGGATATTGAGGTGTTGTTTGGGCTCCGCGTGGATAGTCCGGCTGTCTTAGGGAGAACGTATGGTTTTGATAGGCCTTAATGGATTGAATATTGCGACAAAATGTGTGGTTTTAGACCTAAGTTAGAAGATTTCAAAGGTAATAAGATATATGCCTCGTCCCTTAAAGAAGAGCTAAAACGCGCACTTCCCAAAAACTTACCTGATGATGATGAAGCTTACGACAAGAGGGCTCGCGCTTTTAATCTTTATTTAATGGCTTCCTTCTTGTTTGCGGATAAAATTGGGAACATGGTACCTGTGTGCTATTTGTTACAACTTGAGGATTTAGAGTTATGTGGTCAGCTTAGTTGGGGTTCTGCAGCATTGGCGTATTTGTTTAATGGCACGTGTAAGGCATCTGAATTTGGCCATAACGACATGACCGGTTGTAGTGTATTGGCACAGGTATGCTTTGGTGGTTTTATTTTTTTTTTTCTCATTTTAGCTATCGTTATCAAATATTCTTAAATTTAGTGTTGTTAATTGGACCGATATTCATATCTCGAGCGGACACATTCAAAATGCCATTGACTTGCAAATCAAAGCACAATTTGATTCTAGGAGTTCCCCTGGGGGCTTTTTTAATGCCCTCAAGCTCAAATTCGCCTAAGAAATGGTTGTCGGTTGTTCTCGCTCTTTCGCCCTCAAACGCTTTAATTCGCAGACAAGATTTTTTATCCACCGTATTTGAAGTTGTGAATTTCATTGTTACCCTTGTGGGCAGGACAATATTCCTTGGAATCAGAACTTTCATGACTTCCCCTGTAAGTTCAAGACCAAGAGATAATGGGGTAACTTCCATTAGTACAAAGTCTTGGAGTTTCTCATTGTCGTGATTTCGGGTCAAGACCGCGGCTTGAACAGCTGCACCATAAGCAACAGCTTCATCTGGGTTGATGCTTCTGCAAAGCTCCTTTTTGTTGAGCAAATCTTGTAGCATTTGCTGAACCTTGGGAATCCTGCTTGAACCGCCCACCAGGACAACTTCGTCTAAAGCTTTCTTATTCATTTTGGCATCTGCCAAACACTTTTCAACCATCTCAATGCATTTGATGAATAAATTGGAGTTCAACTCCTAGAATTTGGGCTGGGTGATTGCTGCTGAGAAGTCTATGCCTTCAAACAGGGAGTCGATATCGATCCTTGTCTTGGAACAAGATGAAAGGATCCTTTTTGCCTTCTCGCAACCTGTTCTTAGTCTCCTCATTGATTTAGGATTTCTGCTGATATCCTTACGATGCTTCCTCTTAAATTCCTTAAGGAAATGATTCACCATTTGATTATCAAAATCCTCCCCTCCAAGATGAGTATCACCAGCAATAGCCTTGACTTCAATGTTGCCTTTTCTATTAATCATGAGAACCGAGACATCAAAAGTACCACCTCTGAGATAAAAAAACAAGAACATTTTTCTTCCTCATGATGTTAGAACTATTTTCTAGACCATAAGCGATAGCGGCAGCCGTTGGCTCGTTGATTAAACGCAGAATATTGATGCCTGCAATTTTCCCTGCATCCATTGTGGCTTGACGTTGTGAATGATTGAAACAGGCAGGGATGGTCACAACTGCATCCTTCACTTCTGACCCAATATAGGCCTCAGCAATCTGCTTCATCTTGGTTAGAACCATGGCAGAGATTTCTTCAGCTGCAAAATGTTTTTCCTTACCTTTGTAGGTGACAACAATCATCGGCCTATCATTCGTACCAGAAATGACTTTAAATGGCCAGAGCTTTATGTCGCTCTGTACTAATTTGTCCGTAAATCTCCAACCAATCAACCTCTTTGCATCTGTAATTAATCCAAAGATTTCAACATCAGGAAAAGAAACATTAACTAGTAACTAAAGATTCTGACATATTTCTCTTCTTTTTCCTGCATGTATCAAGAAAAAAGAAATAAGAAAAATAATTCTATTACAGGATTAATGATTAAGATTCTTACCGAAGATAGTGTTGACTGAATTGAAGCCAACTTGGTTGTAAGCAGCATCACCAATAAGACGTTCATTTTCGGTGAATGCAACATAAGATGGGGTGGTCCTATTGCCTTGATCATTTGCTGTGATCTCAACTCGATTATGTTTCCAAAAACCCACACACGAATATGTTGTCCCCAAGTCGATTCCGATTGCTGGACTCCTGGCTTTGCTGCCCATTGCAACGTTATAGTGAACGGCTGATTGATGAAAATACAAATTAGTTGGAGAGAGCGATGTTTTTCAAAGACGAGAGAAGCAAAAAGCTACAAGAAAGGATTTCAAGTTATGTACAGGCAACAGTATTTGGTCAACCATGTATCTTCCTCATAAATTCAGCTAACTTTAGAAATTATTGGGTAGGTAGCAATCCAATAATTTATAGAATTACCTAGAATCAACAGCCCTAAAATTTATCCGTTTTGCACAATTTTCCTGTTAGAAAAAAAACTTTGAAGTTGCAAAAATTTTCCAATTGATTTCTATAATCTGAAATGGATTTTCCCACACGAAAAGATAAAATACTTTATACCATGTCCCCTTCAACATCTGATTTTGAGGGAACTGACGAGTCCATATCCACCGAGGATTACCGGACCGGCCCATCTACCAACTATGGTCCAACCAACCTTACAGAGGCGGTTTCAGAATATAAAACCTAGTGGGATTCAGCATCTCTCAGGGTGATTTCATGCCTATAAATAGGGTTGATCACACCACAATACGGGTACACTATCTCTAACTCCAATTATCACACATAGACTTTTCTATAACCCTATTTCTGATTTAAGCAGAGTGTCTATTTCTGACATAAGCAGAGTGTCTACCATCGGAAGACTCCCGAGACTCTGTTTTGCAGGCAAACTCTAATCAGAGTTCCACTATTAAATCGGAACCACAATTCCAGGCTTTGTCAGGAACAAGGAAACTATCTTTTTTTTATTATTTTTATTTTGACCGATACGTTCTTTAACACACATTCTACCAATTTTAATCCATACAGGCTCCAACAACACTTGCAACAAGGATGTCCAGCGCTGGACCTAAAATTAATCTTTTATGTGGTACTCTATCTAATTTTGATTGTAAGACACAAAATTTGAATTAGAACGGAGAGAATATATTTTTGGAGGAGGAACACTTCGCTTGAATGGGTTTTTGTATATACTAATAACTCTTTTTTTTTTGGATAAAAGTAAAGAGGGCGACATCTCCAAAACACTAAATGAAGACAACTTCATTTAAAGAGTTATATACTGCACGTGGACTTTGCTACCAAGTCATTTTAAAATAAGTCAACACTTCTGGGTCAATATAAAAACTCATGCTTATCGGGCAGACAGGAAATCAAAATAAATATTCAATGTGCTGTATCAAACAAATATCAAGAAGTGTGAAGAAGAAAATCAAACCAAATTATGGAAGACTTTTTACACACCAACAGAATGTCAGACGGATTATTTCTATATGCATACTTTTGATGTATAAGATTAATGATTGGTTTTCATCTCAAAACCAGTGCAATTATTGACTATTCACTTAGATCCCACAGCCTAAAAAAAATGCAGAAGTTCTCAAAGGTTGAGTAAAACCTGATCATGCCTGTCTGCACACGTCTAGTTATCTAAGTCATAGGCTCAATTATATATGTAACCACAATCTACCTTCTATCTACTTCCATTGGTAAGGTCTACAACCTACTCCGGGCAAAATGCAGTGAAAACTGATACTCTTTTCTTCATAGAAGGGCCATGGAGAACCGAGTTTATGTGGGCATCAACCTCTTCCCTTGTGGGAGTTTTGTCGCTGGAACCGGACAGCCTAGTAATCTCGATACCATCGTCCAGGGGACTCCAATCTTTATTTGAAGGGCTCAAGAAGCTGTGGGCAAGCCTGCTTTCTTCTGGCTTAATTAGTTGGTGGTGGCAAAACCTTTGGTGGAGTAGAAGATGCTTCCTTTGATGGCAAAACTTCTTTGACCTGATTATTATGGAGAAAACGACACTTTGCGCCGAATAGGCATGCTCCTTCCATGAAGAGCTGGCACGGCTTTGCCTCCGATTTGGTCTTGCTAATGAAACGGTTTGAAAGCAGCTCTTCCTTGCTGTGTCCAACTTCATACCTTCTGGTGCGGTTAGTAGCTCGAATCGGAAAACCATTGGTTTGATCCATGATAAATTACAAAAACTGGGATTTATCAGTACTTTTGTTTCCGGTCCTTTAACCCTAATAATCGTACCAATTGCACTGAACCCTAATATATGTAATTAATACTTTTTCCTTGGCGACAAGTCTAATATAGTCCCTCTGTTCCTAATTATAAGGTATAGATTGGGGACCAGAGAAGTTATTTCACAGATATAATCAGCCCGTTTAGGGACAGAAATACAGGACCCAATGCCAGCCTGTTGATGTACTATATTATCCTTTTAATAATTGGATCATAACGAGTTTTACCATCTTTCTCTACTTTTGTGATTGTTTTGTTCAGGTAGTTTACCAACATTATTCAATAATAAGGTAAGTAAAAAAGTAAAAACATCTTTACCGTCTTTCTCCTTACAATTAAATGAAATTAATTTTAATAAAATAGATTCTATTTATTTACATTAGAAAATACAACTATTAAAGAAGAAATTAAAAAAAAAGAAGTAAAAAGCCTAATACCATGCCACAGGCGCCACTTGAATTATGCCACTTCACGCAATTTGTAAAGTTTTACCAAGTTCCCATGCCACCAATGTCCAAACCACATAGGCTTCTTTTATTTATTTATTTATTTTTTCTAAGTACAAAACCTTTTTTTTTGTCCTCCTTTAATCAGCAGTTTGCCAATCTTTCATGCCATACATATTAGAGCAACTCATTACACATTTCAATTACACCGTATCTTGTACATACAGGAAGCCGGAATTTCACTTACGTTGGTGACCTTGATTCCGGCCAATCAATTTGATCAATTGTCGGAATGGCGAAGGCCTACCCGGGTTACAAACGCGCGCTAGTTCCTTTGTTTTCTCTTCATAATCGCGAACCTCGGCAAGCTGATCATGAGTTTCGTCCAACCATTGAAAGGCATTCTTAACTGCATCTTCAGCCTTCTTTTTCTCTGCAGAAGACATGTTACTTTTGTTTATATGATCCCTCATATCACAAGTAAACTTCTCGAAAACACTCCGAGCATCAGACCTCTTCCTATACTCTTTGTCCTCAACTTGGTTCTTGTTAGCTTCCTTAATCACGGAATCAATTTCATCTCTGGATAATCTTCCACACGTCACATTGAAGCTCTTCTCATGACCTGTATCTACTTCCTTAACAGTTACGGTCAGTAGACCATTGGCTTCCAAGTCGAAATAGATGTCGATTTTCGGGACACCCCTAGGGGCCAATTGAATGCCCGGAAGTAAAAATTCGCCTAAGAATTTGTTGTCTATTGATCTTACTCTCTCGCCTTCGAATACTTTGACTCTCGCACAACTCTGGTTATCGACGATGGTCGTTAATTCATGTACTCCTCTGGCAGGGATGATGGTGTTTCTAGGAATCACAACATCCATGATTTGGCCTGAGGTTTCAATACCTAAGGAGAGCGGTGTAATTTCCACAAGCTCAAGCTGCTTCAGCTTCTTGTTATCCTGGCAACTCAGCGTTGCAGCTTGAATGACTGCACCATAAGCAACAGCTTCATCGGGATTTATGTCTCTGCAAAGCTTTTTCCCGTTTAACAAGTCTTGTAACATCTGTTGAACTTTCGGGATTCTGCTCGAACCACCTACCATGACAACATCATCTATAGTGTTCTTGTCCATTTGGGAATCCGTCAAACACTTTTCAACTGTTTCGATGCACTTGATAAATAAATCCGAGTTCAGCTCCTCGAACTTGGGTCGGGTAATAGTTGCTGAGAAGTCAATGCCTTCGAACAGGGAGTCGATGTCAATTCGCGTCTCGGCGGAAGAAGAAAGGATCCTTTTGGCCCTTTCACAAGCCGTTCTTAATCTCCTTATTGATTTAGGATTTCCACTGATATCCTTATTGTGCTTCCTCTTGAACACCATGATAAAATGATCCACCAATCGAGCGTCAAAATCCCCTCCTCCGAGATGTGTATCACCGGCAGTGCCCTTAACTTCAATTTTGCTTCTTTCAATTGCGAGGATTGAAACATCAAAAGTGCCAACCCCAAGGTCAAATATGAGAACATTCCTCTTTCCGGTGATGCTTGAACTCTTGTCAAGACCATACGCTATAGCTGCAGCTGTCGGTTCGTTGATAATGCGAAGTACATTGAGGCCTGCAATTTGTCCGGCATTCATTGTGGCCTGACGCTGTGAATGATCGAAATAGGCGGGAACAGTCACAACTGCATCATTAACCTTTGACCCAATGTAGGTCTCAGCAATATGTTTCATCTTGGTCAGGATCATGGATGAGATTTCCTCCGGTGCAAATTGCTTTTCCTCGTCTTTGTAAGTGACAACAATCGTTGGCCAGTCATTAGTATCAGAAATGACCTTGAATGGCCAGAGTTTTATGTCATTTTGTACCGTCTCATCCGTAAATCTCCGACCAATCAACCTCTTCGCATCTATAAATAAAAAGATTTCGGCATCAATTGTTACTTAACTCGTTATCTGCTCGACTCACGAAAATTGAGTCTCAAACAAAATTTCAATTTGATAATACTGGCATGGGGGCGAATAAAATTTCATGCACAGAGAAGGTGAAATAAGATAAAAGTCATTAGCAAAATCCAACTTAAATAATGCAGTTGATTCGTTGTTAAGCTTTTAACTAACAGATTCCATCTCAAATGAGTTTCCAACAGATCAAGTAATAGGAAGGAAATAAAAAGAAAAGATTATAGGACGGGTTTAAATATTTACCGAAAACGGTATTGATGGGATTCAGGGCAACTTGGTTGAAAGCTGCATCACCAATTAGGTGTTCTTTGTCAGTGAAGGCAACATAAGACGGAGTTGTTCTGTTCCCTTGATCGTTTGTTATGATCTCAACTCGATTATGTTTCCAATAACCCACACACGAGTATGTTGTACCCAAGTCAATTCCAATTGCTGGAGTACTGCCGACTTTTCCACCTATCGGAATGGCAATTTGGAAGCAAAATAAATCAATTAGCATTTGACTAGACTAAGAAAATGTTTGAATTTGATTAATGCAGGAACATTTCACACTCTCCAAGTCTTAGTTATCGCAGCGATATTAATTACCTGGTCTTTCCACGAAATTCACCGAAATTTAACTAGAAAAATTATTGCTTCACAAAAAAACTCAACCTTCGTTTTGGTCAATACATAATCATCGTTGAACAAAAAAGTCAAAAGTCAACTTAATAATTTTTACCCAAAACAAAAATTACTTTGAACAGATCAATTTTTAATGTCTTTGAAGTTTATGTTACTGATATATCATAAAAGATTGAAAATTTACCCGAATTTTTTTGAGAACCCGAGTCATTCCGATGGTCGGAATCAGGAAGCCGCGAAGCATGATCATCAATGTGATCATTCCGATGATCGGAATCAGGAAGCCGCGAAACATGATCATCAACTTGATTCTCACTGTTAAGTTGACCACAGTCAGCGATCTCAACTCGCTTGGAAGTCCTCCCACTGGTTGATCCAACCTTTTCGATGGCCTTCACCACGTCCATGCCGTCCACCACATGGCCGAACACCACGCTTTTGCCGTCGAGCCAGGGGGTCTTGACGGTGCAAATGAAGAACTGGGATCCATTGGTGTCGGGCCCAGAGTTCGCCATGGATAACACTCCGGGCCCGGTGTGCTTCTTCAGGAAGTTCTCGTCGGCGAACTTCTTCCTGTAGATTGACTCCCCACCCGTGCCGTTGGCGGCGGTGAAGTCGCCGCCCTGGCACATGAAACCGGGAATCACGCGGTGGAAGATTGATCCCTTGTAATGCAAGGGCTTGCCGGAATTTCCCACCCCGCTCTCCCCGGTGCACAGGGCGCGGAAGTTCTCGGCAGTCAGGGGAGTTGTGTCAGCATAGAGCTCGAAGATGATTCTGCCAACGTTTGTTCCGCCAATGCTGATGTCAAAGAAGACGCTTGGATTCGGCATGATTGTTACTGAGTAAATAGATTGAGATAGAAACGTCAAATGATGAGCAGAGGAAGTATATATGTCCCCCTCCCCTGTTTCAGTGTTTCTTGTTTTGGTCAACCAGGCATCTTCATTGTACATTCAGGGAAATTACCCCAAGTTTTTATGTAGGGAACCATCCAATAACAATGAATTATAGCTATGCCGCGTCATATTTGAAATTATAAGTCGAATCTTTTTGGGGGAATAAATAGGAATGGCCTTCTCAACTGGTTCAGGTTTAAGTGTGTGCCATCACATGGTGACATATTTTTAAGAGTAAGGCAGAATATTGATCAAAATCAACGATTTCACATATGCAGCGTCTCCAGACGCATTATTGTACATTTATAACGTCGCTCTCACCCACGTAAATGTCTTACGCGGTATTTGACTCCTTTTTTTTTGTGGATTTTCGCAGTTTGATAGCCTCATTATAGAACCAAATGGATCAGCGATGATTGATGAAGTGTGTTGGTGATTGCAAGTTAAGTGATATTTGTTCAGCGCAATGAATTGAACCCTTTATTAATAGTCTCTTGTTTATTCCTCAGAAGAAGCTGCTGTCGAGATCAGTGCGTAGCTTCATTCTGGAATGTGAATCATTATGATTGGTAGTGTTTGGTTTACTTCAATTTCAGTTAATAATAATTAGTAGTACAACACAATCTTTAACTCATGTCAGCCAAGGCCATCCAGAAAGGGTAAAAAAAAATGAAGAGTTTACACTTTCCTTCGAAGTTTAAATCTACTTCTTCCCTCTTCTTAATTCTTTCTTCAGGAAGACAGGAATCGCAAATTCACAGTGATCATAAAAAGAGAAGAGTGATCAATCACAAGAATCAATTTTGGACAAAAACTGGTCTTTTACTCAAGGTCTTCAAATTTCAATTGGTGATCCCAGCTCTTGTTCACCGATCTGCTTCAACGATTCTCCCTATCAGTTGGTCCAATTCCTTCAACTTCCTTTCATATTCACTTACTTGAGCAAGCTTCCTGGCGCTTTTCTTTTCCAGCCATTGAAAAGCCTTCTGAATTGCATCGTCAGCCTTCTTTTTGTCAGTGGAAGATAGGTTGTGGTGGCTTACGGTTTGCCTCATCCGTCTAACATAGCTATCAAACTCACGATGTGCTTCATATCTCTTCCAATGCTTTTCGTCACTTGCCTTAAACTTGTTGGCTGCATTTATCATCTTCTCTATTTCGTTTCTTGCTAATCTCCCACTTGTGATACTAAGGCTGTTCTCCACGCCGGTATATATATCTCTCACTGAGACATTCAAGATGCCATTCACTTGCCGGTCAAAGCAGATTTCAATTCTAGGCACTCCACTGGAGGCTATTTGAATGTTGTCCAGCTTGATTTGGCCCAACAAATTGTTGTCAGTTGATCTGGTTCTCTCACCCTCTAACACTTTTAGCCACACAGAACGGTCATTGTGAGTCGTGGTCGAAGTTGAAAACTGTCTTGTTACCTTAGTAGGGATGGTGGTATTCCTAGGAATCATGACTTTCATGACTTTTCCGCCAAGTTCAAAACCAAGAGATAACGGGGTAACTTCTGTCAGTACGAGGTTCGGAACCTTCTCGTCCCCCGGACTGCTCAACATTGCAGCTTGAATAGTTGCGCCGTAAGCCACGGCTTCATCTGGGTTGATGCTTCTACAAAGTTCCTTCCCATTCAACAAGTCCCGTAACATTTGTTGAAGTTTCGGAATCCTGGTCGAACCGCCTACTAGGACAACATCATCGACACCATTCTTATTCATTCGGGCATCTATTAAACACTTTTCTACAATCTCTACACACTTGGTGAATAAATCAGAATTCATGTCCTCAAATTTAGGCCTAGTGATAGTTGCGGAGAAGTCAATGCCTTGGAACAGGGAGTCAATATCGATTTGTGTTTCGGCACAAGATGAAAGAATCCTTTTAGCCCTCTCACAAGCAGTCCTTAATCTCCGGATTGATTTAAGATTTGTACTAACATCCTTGTGGTGCTTCCTCTTGAATTCCTTGATGAAGTGATTTACCATTCGATTGTCAAAGTCTTCTCCTCCAAGATGAGCATCGCCCGCAGTGGCCTCGACTTCGATGCTACCACTTTTGACAGTGAGGATTGAGACATCAAAAGTACCACCACCGAGGTCAAATATAAGAACAGTCCTTTTCTTCCCTGTGATGCTGGAACTATTTTCGAGGCCATAAGCAATTGCAGCGGCTGTCGGTTCATTGATGGTAGAAAGAATATTAAGGCCAGCGATTTCCCCTGCATCCATTGTGGCTTGACGCTGTGAATGATCGAAATAGGCAGGGATGGTCACAACTGCATCCTTCACTTCTGACCCAATGTAGGCCTCCGCAATCTGCTTCATCTTTGTTAGAACCATGGCAGAGATTTCCTCAGCTGCAAATTGTTTCTCTTCACCTTTGTAGGTGACAACAATCATCGGCCTATCATTAACATCGGAAATGACCTTAAATGGCCACAGCTTCATATCACTTTGTACTGTCTCACCGCTAAATCTCCTACCGATCAACCTCTTAGCATCTACAATGCAAAGATTCCGGCACTTATGAATTTGGTAAAATTATCGTACTCCCTCCGTTCCAACATTATTGTCCAGTTTGAGATTTCACTTTTAGTATAATTTGAACTCAAACTGGGCAATAATTATGGGACGGAGGGAGGGAGTATTAAACAATGTTCCTCAATATAAATATAGCATATTGGAAACTGAAACTGATGACCAGCTAATGTGATCAATTTGTCCTTTTGGAAGTTTATTGTGGTATACATTCAGGTAAAAAATCTTTAGTAGTTCCATTCATTTTTTTTTTTTTTAATGAAGATGATGAATCCTGTTCTCAGATAAGCACAAAAAAAAAAAAACAAAGAAAGAAAGAAAAACTCCCTAGGAACATCAATCAATTCAGAGTTCTCATAACAAAAAAATAGAAATGTTTGCTAGCAGTAGCTATATCAATGAATTACCGGTTCATCAAAGTCAACCCAAAGTCTTATGCAAAGTCAAGCTAGTATCTAAAGAACTTATTTTATCGTCATTTCATTTGGACAGATACCAAAAGGGGAAGGAAAACAAAAAAAAATCTCAGAAAACAGAGTAACAAACAAGGGGCTTTAGTTAATGAATGATGACCTACCGAAGATGGTGTTGGTGGGATTGAAGGCCACTTGATTGAAGGCGGCGTCACCAATCAGGCGCTCTGTATCAGTGAAAGCTACATAGGACGGAGTTGTGCGGTTACCTTGATCGTTGACTATGATTTCAACACGGTCGTGTCTCCAGTACCCGACACACGAGTACGTGGTTCCCAGGTCGATTCCGATTGCCGGACTTCTCCCCTTCCCGGATTTCACAGTACTGATCATTGTAATAATGGAAGGAAAAGAAAAATTCAATTAATCAGCTGGGAAAGAAACTGAAGCCTTGAAGGCTGGAACCAGCACTTGTCAACCAGGACCATCTTTATCATAAATTTCCGCGAAATTAATCAATGAAATTGTTGAGGTTGACTAAGTTGGTTTAGTTTATACGGTCAACTAATTTGAAAATGGGATACAGTTTGATCTTATTTTACGACCACACGCTTTCCTCACAATCTGTTGTTACTCTCCTCATTTATTTCGCATTTCCACTCATATCCAAAAAAAACCAAAAGTACCACCTCCAAGGTGAAAAACTAAGCAGTTCCCACTTTCCATTAGCATTTTTTACCAAATAAAAATAATAATAGAAATAAAAAATTTCCATTATTGGCAACACCAAAGCACTCCCTTAAACAAGTCTCCTTGAAGCAATCTGTCACTCCATTTATATATAGCTAATGCATTTTGCGTTGGAATCTTCTACCAAATCTACCTCTTCGTATGGCACTTGGAGTTGACTATTAAACTGATATTAAACGAAACAGGTGGTAATAATTGCTCCAGGGCTTGCTTGACTGAATTGTTCAATAAAAGTATAAAGTGGTTAAAAATCACCTACACTATTTTTCTACATCACTTCTTATCATAGTTACATACTGAAATGTATTTGATGAATCAATGTTTCACATTTCTATCATACTCTCTCTCACCTTAATTCTTTTAAACAGTTTAGTATTTATTTGGTCCCAAAAAAATAATCTACATTCTATAAATATATATATCTCAAAGTTCAATGTTGATTATTTTTTTAGGATAGAGTAAGTATTAATTAATTTATGCACTATCAGTGTATAAGATAAAACATATCAGTGTATTAATTAATAACACATATCAGTGTATAAGATAAAACTACAGAAAGCGGTGTAAATAATTTTCAAAATCATTATCATGATTAAGCATTTCTACTCATGTTCTAGTAGTCAAGTGTATTGAAATAAAATAATGAAAAAAACGAGTACATTATTAAAATGGGACAAATATATTATTTTAATACGAAAGAATATGTATTTAATAGTAATTGAGGTGATTGGAGTAAGGTGCCAAGAAAACCACGTAAGAGCGCTCTTAGCTATTCACAGGATCCATACGTGAAAGAAACTCCAGGAGTGCGTGGGAGAAGATGACAACAGAGTAGATCGTCAGAACAGTGATGAACGAATAATTAATTCTCCTTAGCTAAAAGGCTGCTGCAATTGTGTGAAGAAATTCCACCAGTGTTGTTCTTGTGTGTGTCTGTCTACTAAATTTATATACTTATTACTTTATAAAAATTATAATTAACTAATACAAAAATATAAGTATCAATTATTATAATAGAAGAGAATTATAAAGTTTAATTTTTTTATTTTTAATGTATTAAATAACTAAATATTATTTATTTAGGAATAATTACATCATCTTAATCGACCTTCCAAGTTCAATTTTGTCCAATAAAGTACTAATTTGGCTTTCATAAATGATATATATATATATATTAATTAAAATATAATTATTTATTATTTATTATTTATTACGTCATTATGACGTTATCCGAGCGACCCTCTGATTCGCCCCAAGTCGCTCGACCCCCTCACCATGCGGAGTCGAGTTCCGGTCCGAGCTTTATAACACTGGTTTTCTTCAATGGATATCATTTGTCTCATGCATGCATATTGCTTAAGGTTCCGACTTCATTTAGGTCATTTCAAGAAATTATGTCACTAAAGACAAAAATACTGAGTTTTATGTACTCGTACTACTTGAAATTTGTGAAAGTATTATACATGAAAATCAAGGTCGAATGTATGAAATCATATTTTTTGGTTATGCAAATCAGGAAGTCTCTTTTTAAACCAACACTTATTATATGCAATCTCATTCAAATATAATGGATAAACTCCTCACTGAAAATAAAACTGTACCACAATTACTGGTAGTGTCAGCAATTTTAATTAGCGAAAAAAGGTTTCATCTATAAGAAACGAAGCACGCATGCACCTCTGCCAATCTTACTGTTCCATAGTTTCCACCTTTGGTTGAACATAAGAAAGAACCGTTTGGCTTATAGGGAAAAGTAAAAGAGCATATTAGAATGTAGACTTCCTCGGATGGGGAGCATGTGGGTCAGGAACAAATGGCTACGTATGGTAAATGGAGATCATAAGCATATACAACAACTATTGAAATTTTTTATTTTGACATTATTAATTTTTTTAATGAACCTACCCGGTCCACATCCAAATTAATCAACCAATAATTCAGATATCGAATGCGTAGTTAATATATCTAATAACAAATGCCATCCACTAATGAATAAATGCATATGAATAGTGATAAAAAGTTAAAAGTGAACTTGTGATTAATTAAGGTGATATTGATCATTCTTCTTTTAAAATTTGTCAAGATCAGCATTGGGAATGATTTGATATATTTCCTTAATTATTGCGAGGTCATAGATTCTGCGAAGAAAATAATGATTGCTAGCTTAATAATACTACTATATCTTAAGGAAACACACCCATAAAAAAAAAATGATCGTGAAGAAGTGGGATCGATGGGGGCTAAGGCTCACACAGACATCCATAATAAATAAGAACCTCTCCTTTAACTTTATACAAATCTCCACCTCTTTTGTTCTCAACACAACTTTTCTTTCTGCAACTCTCTCTTTGCTGATGATGTGATTCTCCACCCAAAAAATTAACACCCCTCCATTAGACCTTTACAAAAAGAACAAAGCTATGGTATTCTCATCTCTTCCTCCCTACGTAGATCCTCCCAACTGGCCACTGGTATGTAAAACTCACATCAAGCTCCTTCTTCTTCTTCTTCTTTTTCTTCTACCCTTTTAAAAGAAACAATTTTTAACCTAGCTAGAAAAAGAGACTTTAAATTTTTATAAAAAAGATGCAATTCAAGCTATTCACACTTTTGTTTGAATATACCACAGGATTTGTAGAAATATGATGTTTGAATATTGATCTCATTTTTGTTGTCCTTTAATTACTTTTGTGTAGCAACAAGATCATCATCCTCAACAAGGAGGTGGACCACCAGCTGGAGGGATCAATAATTCTCAGCAACAGCTCCCACCGCCACTCATGCCACCGCCGCCTCCTCCTGCATTGGGCGGCGGTGGAGCCGTCACCACCTCGATTAGACCCGGATCAATGGCGGAACGAGCCCGGATAGCGAAACTACCCCAACCGGAAACATCACCGAGGTGCCCTAGATGCGACTCAACCAACACGAAATTCTGTTACTTCAACAACTACAGCCTTACTCAGCCACGTCATTTCTGCAAGACTTGCCGCCGGTACTGGACTCGAGGCGGCGCGTTGAGGAACGTCCCTGTCGGCGGAGGATGCCGGAGGAACAAAAGGAGCAAAAGTACTACCACTAGATCATCAAAGTCTCCAATCACCGGAGCTGGTGGTGAATGCCAAGCAAGCAGCAGCTCCACCACCTCAACAAGTACAGTTTCTAATTCCAACATGAGTTGCTCCACTGATAACATTTTATTAGGTCATTTTCAGTTGCCGATATCAGGCCTGAATCAAGCCCATCTCTCTAATTTCTTTCCGTCCCATTTGCATAATCTCGCTGAATTGGGGAATGCTGAAAATATTGGATTGGGTTTTGGGCCGCTTAATTTACGTGGTGATCAGTGGAGAACTCAGCCACCACAACTTCCTTTCTTGGCTGGTAATTTAGAACAATTTGAATCCGGTTCTGGCCAAGGTCAGCCGTTTGGATTTGGAGATGGGAATATGGATCAGCTTAAAACCAGAACAATGGAAACAGCCGCAGGGGTAGTGGATTCTGTGAAAGAGGAAGGAAACCATAATCAACAAGCGCTTATAAATTTGTCAAGGAATTTCTTGAGTATTAATCCAGGGAATGAAGAACAGTATTGGGGTACTACTACTAATTATGGAAATGCATGGTCAGATTTGTCTGGTTCTACTTCTTCAGCTACACATCTCATTTGATAATTCTCCTTCTTTAAACCCTAAAATCTATATATAGAGTTACATGTTTGGGGTGAGAAGTAATACTAGCTAGTTTCCAGTTTCGTTTTTGAGTTAGATGCCCAAGTTTTTTTCCACTAAAGTAATCACGATCTTCAAAGAGAGTGACCGTGACTTGATGAAGATCGATGCCCAAGTTGTTTGATGAATGATGAGATCACTTCTGAAGATTTGCTTGGCAGCTCTACTGATCTGAGTTTGATTATTTCGTTGCTTTGGTGTTCTTATGGGTATGCTTAGGCAAGTACTGGAGTAGAGTGGTCGAGGTGTAGATACCACCATAATGTGTTTGATGTTTCATAACAGAAAAGCTATATTGTTTTGAGAGATTAGAATTTCAATGTAGTAATTAAGTTTCTTCTTCTTCTTTTTAATTTTTTTTTTCCCTTTTAACTTATATTCTTTTTCTTGATTCAATTCTGTAAAAATATTCATATACCCAGCTCAATTAGATCACTCTAGTCATGAATATTCGTGATCATCTTTAGTTTTGATAATTAGTAGAAACTTGGCCACTCTGGTGACTGGTCGAAATCCAAAGTTTGAAATAGTTGCTAACTCTCTTCATGAAAGGTGACATATGTTTAATTTTTGGTCAAAATGAAGTCATATATCGTAGTACATCTTGTGAGATTAAAGGTGAACATGCCCTCTTATGGTTTTCAGAATGACATATGTGTGTTTTGGGATTTTGATGATTGTCTCTGAGTTGCTGATGTTTGGCTCAGAAGAGTGTTGGAGTCCTAAGTAGCATGGAGTGCAAACCTTCCCATGCCCTGCAAACTTTCTTCTTTCACCAAGTGATATAGGTGTAGCCATTTCAATTTATGCGTGTTTTAATTAGGACCAGATTTAATCTTTAACCCTAAATTTGAAGCCTTTTGGTAGGGGCAACAAATATGTTTAGGGATGGTTATTTCAATTAACACATCCACAAAAAGAGCCAACTTTCGAACTTCACCACCCCCACCCAAAAGTAGTTAAATTCCAGAATATCATTTGTTGAAAATTTTACAGTGTAAGAAAACCCATCATTAATGCATAATTGATTGGTGGCTTCAAACACCACCTTGATTGAGAAAGGCCGAGCCTATATATTCAGAATTATCTCATGGTTCATGTTAAAAAAATAAAAATAAAAATTTGAGCTACAAATTGAGCCTTGGTTACATTCTACAAGCCATGCCTAAATCCATCAATATTACAAAGCCAGAAAGCTGCAGGATTGGAGTGAAATGAAATGAGTCACTGTTTGACTGGACCAAAATACACCCATAAGCTTACTTTAAACATTAGTAGTACGGTCATGAAATCCCAAATTCCCAGAAAGTTGTACTGCTTCTCACTCATTTAACCTCAGTTACTTATGTATTTCACCCTCCCAAGATAACTAACGGTTCAACTAGGAAGCGGCACTAATGTATGTGCCCATGCCTTTTTCAAAAACATTAGGATAAAAAGTCAGAAAATATGGCTATCATCTCATATGTGAGAGTTTGTGCTGCAATGATTTTGCAATTATATTCAGCCCGTTTAATGCGCGACGTATTTATCGACATAGTAACTTTGGTAAAATGAATGGTGCCCCAGTCGTTGTTGTTGGAGAGGGGTGACAAAAGGGGAGATGAGAAATTGCCAAAACTTTCACTCAAATCCACGCCGACACAATCAAAAGCAGTCTCGACTTTGTATGCCTGATTTGAGGTATGTCTGTTTGTTCATCACATCACAAATAATCATCATATCTTTGCAAGATTTCAAAACCAAAAGATCCTGAACATTTTTATTAATTAATGCACGAGTTTTAGATATTTATACAGTACGTACAAAGCAAAATTATGTTTATATAAGAAATCAAAATACGTACTGGAATTTGTTAATCGTTCATGGTAATTAATCACACTAATTTTTATTTTTTTTTGGGGGTACGAAGGAAGGAGGAGTAAATCACACTAATTTCGATAAGGCTAATCCTTTTAATTTCCGTAGTAAAGAAATTGAACAAAAGGGAAAAATCATAAAATAATCATGAGACGGGAACAAATTACAACCTAGATTTTGTCTGATCACGTGACAAAAGGAGATTAAAGTACTCAAATAAAGAATGAGTAGATGAAATCTGGAATTCATGGCATGCAAATGCATGAGTCAAGGTAGAGGATTTTAAGAGAGACTAATGGAATCTGCTGGGATTTTGCTTTTGCAGTGTCCAAGATCCGTTATGGGCAGACAAGAGAATAAAGCGGTATTCATCTTCAACCTATCATATTAACCGTCAATAAAGCAAACTCCGTTTTGTGTGTGGCTGTGTGTGTGTGTGTGAGGCAGAGAGATCCTCCCATGTATGTCAACAGTTGCTCTTTCCTTCGCTTCTGGTTGGTTCCCTTATTGTACATGCATGTAACAAAGTACCAGTGGATTTTAAATTTTCCTCTAACACTTTTTTTCGTTTATATTTTAGAAAAAAAGGTTAACGCATCTATGAAATTAAAGATTGTAAAAAAAAAAAATGAAAAATTAAACAATTTTCTCTTTTTTTTTTGTAAAAAAAAAAACACAAAATCAATTTTTTTAAAAAAAATTGATGGAGAGAGTCCAAATGATCCTCCAGCTCTGGGCGGCATTAACGTTAACGCCGGCATGTAATGGCGTGAGATGAGATGATCTTTCTGTTTCCATGGCAGCCTTTTTGAGAGATGCCTTATATGCCTTTGTGAGAGATGTTACCCCTCTAATTATTTTTATGCCTATATTTCCCCACCACCGCCCCCTCTAGATTCCAAATACGAACTTGTGCAATAATATATATACATGTGCTCTCTTTGAGATCGTAGACCCTAGAATTTGATGTATGTAATTACCAAATACGAATTTGACACATATAATTGCCAACTTTTAACTATAAATCAAAATTTTCAACTTTCTAGAAGAAGTTCATACTGGCTTGGTGGAATATGTAAGTTTTAAACCAAAAATGTATTCATGTATATCACTGGCTGGTAGCTGCTAACAATACTATGTTTATATCTTCATTTTTATTTCCAGAAGGAGCTAGAAATTGCTACTTTATGGATAATATTAATTAAATTAATTTAATGCTCAGATACTTAATTATATCTGCATTTAATTCACTAGTACTGATGAATCAAGCGTTACGAATATGAATTATGTTTAATTTATATGGTCTGTGTCATAGCCCAGTCGGGCTTGTGCAGTGTTTCAAACATATACGAATCGATCTAATCGATCATCATCATTATATCATAACGTAGCCCACAAAAGAACATGCATGGCGTGCTACTCCTCCATCAAGGCATCATCCATGAGGCGATGTTCTTGGCTTTTTGATTGATTCTTTTGTTTCAGGTGACATTTTTTCCATTATGTGTTTCCGTGATTGACTGATCGTAAGTCTATCTGGATATCCTGGCCTCTCTAAGTCAGCAACTTCCACGCATATATATTTGATTTGTTATGATGTAGCGGGGGGACTTAAAAAGGGAACATTTAGTCTCGAAATGGAAGCTTGCGTAGTATTGCATGGCCACGAGTTGCATGGATTTTGTTCTCCCCCTCAGTGTCGTCGTTGAGGTTCTACTTTTTAATCTTCTTCAGCCAAGTGCACGACCAATTAGTCAACCACTAATTCAATGCGTGGCCTCTTTCTTGCATGTGTAATCTAGATTTGACCAGTTTTGTAGTTGAAAACTTCTTCCAAATTAATGTGACAGCCCTCATCAGTCAGAGGTACCCTTAAATAATTTAATCTTGTGATACCCTACGTAAAAATGAGATTTCTTCTCCTTCTTTTGTTCGTTAGCTTTTCGCCATTATTCGTTTTCTTTTTCTTATAAATAAATGGAGATGAAAATTAATAAAGGCAAATTGAAAGTTTTATAAATACAATGTTTATATGAAGTTCATATATGCAGTTTTGGTTCAAAAAGGAAATATTGGGGGAGGGAATTTTGCATGGCTTGTAGATTTTCACGATCGAATAAGTCGTATGATAGATTTTGAATTCTGTTTCAGTGGAGTTTTCTTTGTCATGGTTCACTTGATTATTGCCGCATTGTTCACTTAGTTATACGACATTACACACTTGGTTATTTTATAACTTTCACTTTGGGGCTTGGGCATTCTTTCCATTAATTAATTAAGCATTGCTTGACTGATTAATTGTAAGGAATTGTTCAATTTCTTATATGAAATTGCTCTCTGTTATATAATTAGTAATCGAACTATTGCAAAATGATTGTTTAATTTAATTTTTTTAAAACTTTTATTATAATTTAAAATAAAAATGAAAATACAAACATAATATTTCTTTCGTTCTATAATTATTGTCCAGTTTGAGCTTTTATTTCTGGTTCAAATTGTACTAAAAATACAATCTCAAACTGGATAATAATTTTGGGAGAGAGAGATTATTTTAAGACGAAGGGAATATAATTTATATAAGTGTAAATATAGCAGGATATAAGAACAAGGGTGGTAGAAAATAAAGATGGATAAGATATTTCTCTTTCATTGAGTTTTATCATTTGAACTGTATCAATAAACTATAAATTACTTATATTAAATATTTTAATAATATTTCATAATCATATCTCAGAAATCATGTCAACACAATATATATTGAATGTAGATTGTTAAAATATTCAATCAAATCTTCATAACTCTGTGAGTTCTGAGATATTATTCATTTGGCTAATATAAGACAGCTCAATTTCACTCATAAGGCACCAATTTCCCGTTCGGCTATAAAGTGTTACTCCTTAATTTGGTTACAAGACATTGCTCACGTAGTTGTAAGGTATCGCTTGATTATATTCCCTCCATTTCAAAATGTAAGTCTTTTTAGACTTTCGTAAACTAAGGAGATAATCATCTAACAATTAATTTGTATGTTAAATATCTGTTTAACCCCTCAATAAATACATTGAAACTATAAACAAGACTAAATAAAAATAGAATAAGCATCATTTATTGAGGATAAAGTTAGAAAAATAGTCATTAATTTGCCTAGAATTTGTAAAACAACCTACATTTTGAAAAATCTCTCCAAACTTAAAACGACCTACAAATTGAACTAGGGGGAGTAAGTCATAAGTTGCTATTCACTTTGTTACAAGTTACAAAGTTAGAAGACATTCTTGACTTTGGTTGTATAAGTTTCTAGTTTCACATTTTAGATACCTTTCAAATTTGATGACCAGTAGCTGAAAGGGATAACTGACGCGTATATATATATACCTCTAATCGTTTATCAAAGAAGCTTAGGAATAACTTTTTTGGTTTTTTCTTATGTATTTCAACAGCAATTTAGTTTAGAATTATGGGTGTCAGTCCTATGTTACATCGTCCAAGTTGCTTCACCAAGTCTTCGCCAATGCCTAGCAGCGACAGCTAACTTTAATAATCCAGTCAATGTTTGCATATGTCGACAGCTAAGTCAATGTTTGCATCTGTTTGGTGTATTCGTTAGTTTATGATCAACTTAATTATTAAAATCATGTGGTTAACCCTCACAATTTGCTTCTTATAATTGAGGGGTACAAAAACAAATAAATGGATACTAACAAACAATTCTCCAATTCGTTGTTGTTATTGGCGTAATCATAGGGAACAATTATCCAATTAGTACTAATATTTGATATTATTGAACGGGATAATCGACAGAATATAAGCTGCACCTAGATTCAAATTTGACAAACAAAAAAATTTAAACAATTAAACACACAATCATAGGTAGTAAGGTAGAGAGTAATGATTATTACCTTTCACAAATAAGAAACACAAACAACAATCTATCCCAAGTCCTAACCAATGTACGAGTATGCTAGCTAGCAAGGGGGATCAAGTAACCGATGAATATCCATAAAACCAGTAGAATGCACGGTAAAAATATTATTGACTTTATGAAATTTGTGTCTCAAGTCTCAAATCGAGCCATTAAGTTTCTGATGCCCATGGATCACTGGATCAGTCCTGCACGATAACCGTACTTTTGTTCATTAACTTGGATCGAAACTTAATTAATCACTGAACAATTATCCAGTTAATGATTAGTTGATCAGAAAATATTTTTAGCAGACTTAGCGCGTAGTTTTCGGGTCCACGTACGAAGAGAATCAATCGTATCATTTCCAGCAACCTGGTTTAGTGGTAGTTGGCCATTTAATAAGCAGCGAAGACCAATAGAGTTTTAATTTGACATTCATTTACAAGTAAACGCTGCATGTGGAAATCATGATAGACATCCGATCGATAGTTCTCTCTTTAAACCGACGACTTTAGCTAGCGTTGACTTCGTGATTTGGGGAATATGTAATAATGCAAATATATAAGCAAAATAATAATAATAATAATAATAATGCAAATATATAAACCTCGTAAACTTTTTATTAGTAAGATTCACCCAAGAATTAATACATAGATATAGAGTCCCCAAAGAATTCAAACAAAACCAGAGAGAGCTAGCTAGTTTGGAAGATCAAATTAAGCAAAGAAAATTATGGCTCCGCCACCATCCACCGCAGTGCCACCCCTAGTAGGCTTACTTGTGAGGATAGTGACGCTTGTTTGCCTACTCGTTTCAATAGTGGTCCTCGTTACCACCTCTTATACTGACACAACCGGCGACGAAGTCTCCAAACTCAAATTCAGCGATTTCTATGCCTATCGGTACGTCCTCATTCATTTTTGCCTTGTTCGAATTTCATCTCCGAATTACTCACTCCGTCCCAAAATTATTTTTCAATTTGAGATTTCACTGTTATTGAAATTAATATATATAAACTTTTGATTTGCATTTTACAGGTACCTTCTTTCTGCTTCAGTAGTTGGTCTAGCCTATAGTTTTCTTCAAACGGCTTTGACTGTACTCCTGGTTACCACCGGAAACCGGATCGGGGCCGATAGCATGCTTCTGTTCGATTTCTACGCTGACAAGGTACAATCCCCTTATTACTTACTCCCCGTCCTATAATTATTGTTCAGTTTGAGTTTTTATTTTTAGTTTAAATTATATTAAAAGTAAAATCTCAAACTGGACAATAATTTTGGGACAGAGAGTAGATAATTTGACCCCTAATAAAGAGATTAAATTGTGTCTGCTCAGAAAATGAAGTACGATAGAATATTGAAAATATGAAACCTAAAAGCAATTTTTAAAAAACGGGGGGGGGGGGGCAAATTTTATCCTTCATTTTGGTGAGCGAGTCAATATTATGACCATATACGTATGTGTACGTAGGTAGATCAGCTTCATAATTAAGTTGTTTATCCAATTTGAAATTAAATATTTGATGATTCAATAAACGCAGGTGATATCATATGTAGTCGCGACTGGAGCTGCTGCAGGTTTTGGACTATCTGTGGATTTAAAGCGTCTGCTAAACGCAGTAGATACCTCAGAACTGAACACTTTTCTGCACAAGGCCGAAGCCGCTGCCAGTCTTTGCCTTCTGGCCTTTGTGCTTACCGCACTCTCTTCTATTTTCTCTTCCTTGTCCCTCCCAAAGCGGGTTCAGTAAATCATTTTTCCAATCCCCTTCCCAACTCAAAAAGTCTACAGAACAAATTAAACACCGATTCATTTGTTCGATCGGGCCGGTTTTTTACTGTAACTTTTAAGGTTTGTACTTGCGTTTTTATTTCATGTATCATTCGCGCGTGTTCTATATATGTTGTGCTTGAGAACATTGAAGCTTCTTGTTGTTGACTTTCCACTGGTATTGTTTGTATCTATGTATTTTGAGAATTTGTTAAGTATCAGAAAGATTTACTTCATTATTGAATTTGTATTTGACACATAAATTAATTATTAAATAATTATTTTCTGAAGTTATATACAAAGTCTAAAACGACTTAAATTTTTTTTGAATATATTATGCATCCGGTGTCCAAAATTATTGCTCCGACTAATCCGAATTCGAGTCGGGTAGGTCCTTTTCAGGAGACAAAACTCTCCCAACAAATATTATAATCACTGTTGTATGCCTATGTCCAGGTTTGAACTCAGGTCATAGTTAAACTGGTCCAATACTTTTACCACTTGGACCAATGTTGATAAAACGACTTGAAATGGAGGGAGTATTGAGTGTATGATCATGGTTATTTTGGTCCTTTTGAGTACGCATTGAATTCAAGGTGCTAGTAAAGTTTGATTATGTATTATTTGATTCATGCATGCAAACTGAAGTAAACGAATTTTTTTTAATCATATGGATGACAAATAATCTTTCAAAAACAATGTAGATGATTAATAATAATTGTTGAGGCGTCTGATTTTAGGATAAAATCAAGCCAAATAAGGAAGCGGGGGGACCGTTTAAATCAAATAAAGGATATGAAGTTCTGAACAAATCAACATAAATTATTGGACAAACAAAGATGAAGAAACAACCTTACATCAATTAATTGCACAGTGTGAAAATAGAAATAAATGCACGCAAGCCACCCGGACAAAAATCATAATCAAGTGAATGTTTTCACACTCTGTGCTGACTGATGTGCTGATTCGTGTTTTTTTTGCACATCCTGATTCTGTTAATTTATTTTGCATTTATTTCTGAGACGTCGGGATAGACTCTACATACAAGACGAACAAGTACAAAATGCTGTTGGTTGAGTTTATTGGGATGACACCGTGCAACCAGAACTTCTTGATTGCATATGCCCTCTTGAGTGACGAGACTGGTGAAAGTTATTATTGGTCTTTGAGACAGTTTAGGGATTTGCTTTCTGGTCATCTGTCTCCGGCTGTTATTGTTATTGATCGGGAACCGGGGTTGATGGCGCCGCTGAGTTGGGTTTTTCCAGATTCATGCCACTTGTTGTGTGTTTGGCATGTTTATGAGAATGTAAAGCGACATCTCAACAAAGGAATTGAAGTTTGATGCCAAGGTTGCAAATGGTTTTGCATATGAGTTGTGGAAAGACATTGTGGAAGCTAAGAATCAAGATAACTACAATAAAGCTGTTGACGTAATAAACTGTCATTGGCACAATTTTTCGAGCGTTCTTAATTATATCCATAACACATGGTTGACTACAAATTCGTCAAGGCGTGGACGAATGTTGTGTTTCATATGGGCAACACTACTACAGGTAGGGTGGAGAGCGCGCACAAGCAATTAAAAACTTGGCTAGAAACATCTACTGCATCGTTGGATACACTTTGGGCTAAGGTGCACTTAGAAATTCAGACTCAGCTAACTGAAATAGGGTAACTTCTACTCCATTATGTTCTATTTATTATATATTTAGTATTTTTTAGTATTTTTGACATTTTTCCTAGAATGTTTTACATTAAGTGGTTACAAAAAATATAATCCTACATTCAGGTACAAACTGGAATACTCGAGACAGAAAATTGGCACCCATTATTGCGATTTTTCACTGAACTGCTTGAAGTGTCAAGTTTCACATACATGTTTGAAAAAACTGAACACTGAGTGGTCGAAGACGTAAGAGTGGAAAGAAGAAACGAATGACAGATGTGATCATGTGGTTTACTGGACTTGTCGAATTCCATGTGCGTGCGCCCTAAAAAAAGCTGCAGATGCCGGCACATCGATTAGTCTTAAGCATATTCACCCATTCTGGGCGACCCTTAATATCGGTGAACAAGCTGTTAGTAGTGGTTCGAGCGATGTGGATGACGATATCTTTTATACCAGACAGTTGATGGAAGAGCTGAAGGAGTGTCCTAAGGCAGTACGACGCACGATAAATAGGGCTCTCTATGATAAAATGTATCCAGACCATTGTGGGTTCAAACACCCCGAGGAGGTCAAGAGACGGAAGGGGTAGTCGAAAGAGGCTAAATCAAATATAAAAGCAACACCTAATGTGTGGGATTAAAAGGACGACACTCAAGGAAAGTCGACCACAGTGACGAGCGATTCAAGTAAGAAGCGCCCCTCATCTTTAGGTGGTCGTACAGATGTATCCACATGTACAAGTTAAGAACTTATTTTGCGTCCATAATTTATTTATTAACATTTGTTCCAATTAACATTTTTTTCGTGTAATTTACAATTTTTGCGAGTGATATTTTACAGTATGGTTGCTACGACCTCATTCCATGGCCCATTCGGACATATATTACCAATTACCTTGATGTTGTTGCCAATGGCAATTGTGGATTTCGCGTTGTAACGAGTAACATGTATTTGTGCCAGGAGAAGTGGGCGATGGTGAGAGAGGCAATTGCGACCGAGCTAGAACAGAATTGGCATCTGTACAGGAGAATTTACAGGTATACCTACTTTTCATTTTCTATGTTATGATGTTTGCTGAAGTTAGCATAATTTTGCACAAATAATTATACATGTAAATGCAGGACCACCGTGCAGGAAGAAGTGAGTCGTATACGGTGGAATGGATTAGGTTTCGCACCTGAGCGCCATTGGATGTGTACGACGGACTTGTTCATAGTTGCGACTATAAACAATGCAATTGTGTACTTTTACGGTGCAGGAGAAGAGAACTAGTCACTAAACACCTCATGTTGGACTATACTATATGTCACTGCACGCGGTGAGCCAACATTTCCGGCATATCAGATTGGGGTATGTCACCTTGGTATTTACAAGCACTTCATTCGGATAAATTTGGACGGTGACTTTCCAGTTCCACCGATCGATAATAGGTGGACTAAGGAACATGATCCTAGCGTTGCTGGTTGGGAATTACCACTTCTTCCTAGAATTCAAGAATGGTATAGGTTGGTCCCCTTCAATCCTCGACGACTTGTGGATGATAATGATTACATTGATCTTAGTTTCTTAGATTAGATCCATGTTGGTTTGTTTGTTGTGATGATGATAATGGTGTTATCCATTATCTAATTTGTTTGTTTTTTATGTATTGTACAATAACATACCACAGGGACATAAAAAAAAACGTACCACAGGGACACCAAATAAGCTAACTAATATATAACACACAATAGTGCCATAAAAAAAACTAAATACAATCCAAGAAAAAAAAAACAAATTCAGTCCAATAATACGATAATGATAATGCTCATGGGGCCTTGTAATAACGGACCATCGTATCCTGCAGCTTCTCAGCATATTCAGCAGCTAGATCGCGATCGGACACTTTGACCTTTTTAATCAGGTCCATAGTGATTTTTCTCAATTCATTCATCTACTGCAAAAAAAAAAAAAAGAAACCAAAAAAAGGTTAAACTATATATAATATAGAAATGTATATCTAAAAAAAATGTAATTAGAAATACAACTTACATAATCCTCACTACTCCTAACTGGTGTGGAGTCTGAAGATGGGTCAGTTGTCGGCAGCAGAAATAGATGTAAATATTGCATGTATCATTCAAGGTACCCCTCCTCACACTCTCCTATGATCTCACCGAAATTGAAGCGCCTCAAACCTATATTAATACACCCTGACTCCGGGAATCTCCTCCAAGTACTGAGTGTATCAATAGCTGAAAGCTCTACAAAGTACTGGGTAGTTCTGGGTCCTCGGAATGCATCATTAGGGGACATGTGCGAACGAGAAATATTCTGTACGTAACCAATCTGACGTATAACTCTGTCCGGCATGTATGGCTCCTGCACATTCCTATCCATTATCCACCCACTGTAGGTAGTCCTCGGAACTATTCCTTATTGGCCCAGTCCAAATGGCTCCCACTTTACCTGCAAATATTATTTATATTATTTATAAATATAAATTTAAAAAATAAAATAAAATACAGTAAAAAAAAATAGTACCTCTAACTCGGTGAACCTGTCGAGACGCTTCCTAACCTGACGAAGGCGATCTGACACAGATGTCGGCCCCGTATAAGATGGTGGTATCCAGTCATGTACTCTGGGCCTGTCATTACCCCTACGGGTAACTCGCCCTCCCTGGGGGCGGAAGCACGGGAAATACTCGTAAATCCAAGCCTACAGTAGGGTCAAATAACCACCTAACTGAGTGCACTTTGCCCTACTAGTCATCCCTAACTGGCGGTATAGAAACGCAAGCATAGCAGATCCCCACGAGTATCAACCCATATTTTCGATCCCAGCCATAAGCTCATTACAAGTGAAACACTGCACCTCCCACCACTCTTGCTCATGAACAATGTCGAGGCTAACAATACCCACAAAAAAGCAGAGGCCTGGGTATTCTCGTCCGCTTTCTGGCATCGCTCAAGGATGAACCAATCAGAGACACCGCCATGACTCCATTTGTAACCATTCAAATCCAATCTAAGTATTCTTGCTGCATGTCCTCTCAACACATCTGTCTCGGGCGTACCTAACACCAACTCTCCCTTAAACCCAATGCCCAAAATATGATAAACATCATGTATCATGATGGTCATCTCCCTGAAAGGCAAATGAAATGAGTTTGTGTCCGGCTGCCACCTCTCAACAAATGCACTTACTAAGCTAAGATCAATATCGTCATACGAGGTATGAAGAAGGTGACCCAATCCAGTCCCCCCAATCTTGCCTTTCACTAAATCATCTATATCCCTATATCACAACTTTAACTTATTGAGAATCTTTTCGCCTTTAAATATCTTCAGAATGGGTCTATGATAACCATGCCAGAAATGATAAGCAATATGCCCAAGAAAGCTAGGAATCACGCTACCATCTTTCGGCTCACCAGGTACTTCATCTGTCACTAGCCATAAGTCAGATCAATTTCATCATAAACTCTCGACTGGCTGCTGCCGCCTGTACCATGAATAAGTAAATCAAATATTATTTATTATATTTTATACACATACAACAATTCAATAAATATAATTGAAAAAATTTAATTAAAAATAATTATATAATTTTAAATAATTACAAAAATTAAATATAAATAATTAGTACCTGATGATGCAATAGTGGTAACAGGACATGTAGATACTCCAGTGGATCCGGGGCCTCGGCGAGGACACACGGGATCAATGAGAGGGGGAGGACTTGTAGATACTCCAGTGGAGACGGGACCTCCGAGAGGGGGCACGGGATCAATGAGGGGGGGAGGGGGGGGAGATGCCTGACTACTGCGGGAGGGACGAGGCCGACTATTTGTGGATATACCCTGTGAGAATTGAACAACACCAGGGAAAGAGGGACTACAATGTGGACTGCACCACTGACCACTCATAGGAGAAGGGATAGAGGTAGGGGGAGAGGATAAACCTCCAGGACCAGGCCATGGATAACCAAACAGGGGAGGAGGGTAACTACTAAGATTGTATATAGGGCGATCTCTGTGATGCTCACCCATCCTAACACTGTCCTGCACATAATCCTCATCAAACTCACTCTTCTCATCCTCATCCTCCTCTTCCAGGCCGGCCTCATAATACTCGGGTACATTAATCGACTGACTAGACCGAGTCACAAACGGTATACCACCCATATTTACCTAAGTCATTTTCATTCGCTTCTTTAACTCTTTTTCCTCTCTTTTCTTCCGACAACTCATGGTCAGATAACGCGCACGAACCTTACGCTTACTAGTATCTTCAGTATCACTAGTATCACTATCATCATCATCATCACAATAAACCTATAAACAAAATTTTAGTCATCATCATCATATTTTCCTAGTCTAAACAAATAATTATACAAATTTCCTAAATCCTAAATTGTTTAATAATTAAGTACACGTTGATTAAACGTATAATTCATATGACAAAGTAATTATATACATAATATAAAACTAATTATCATACAATAATTGACTACACTAATTTACTATTCATTAAAGTAATTATATACATAATATAAAACTAATTATCATACAATAATTAACTAAACAAATTAATCTATTGTACTTAATTATAAATTTAAATACTTTACAAACTATTAATTAAATTACTATTAATTATAATTAATCCAATAAACTAAACTAATTTACAAAATATTTATATTAATTTATTTAATCATAAACTACATTACAAACAAATTAAATTAATTTATACTATTAATTAAATTAATCCAATAAACTAAATTAATTTAAAAACTATTTAAATCAATTTATTTACACAATTTAACTAAATAACAAACTAATAACCAATTAATCTAAATCACAAAATTTTTTAAACTAATTACATTAAATATATTAAATTATAAACTAATTACATTAAATTATAAACTAAATTAGTAAATTAAATATATTACACATAACAAAATTAAATTAAATTCAAAATTAGTAATGAATCAAAACTTAAAAAAATTCAAAATTAAATTAAATTAAAAAAAATTCTGACCGGTCCGGTTCTCTGACCGGACCAATCTTGGACTGGGCTCATCTTGGCCCAAGCTAGCCGCCAGAGCGGCCAAGAAAGCCGTCCGACGGCACCGACCGGACGCGCAAGCAACGCGTCCCGGTTCAAACCGGAACGAGCATCATGCGCGTTTCGGTTTGAATCGGGACGCGTTGCTTTCGCGTCCGATCAGCGCCGCCAGACGGCCGCTGGAACGGGCTGGAAAGCCGTCCGGCGGCGCTGACCGGACGCGCAAGCAATGCGTCCCGGTTATCTTCTAAAAAAACACAATTTTGAAGAAAAAAAACTTACCTATGATGAGATGGGCTCTTTCCCGCTTGATTTTTCCCGTGTTGCCATCAATTTTGGCTCCAAATAAGCTTCAATTTGCGGTTTGGAAAATTAAGGGGTTATGTTTTCTCTCTTTTTTCTTATGTGCAAGTTTGAAATGACAGAGACAAAATCGAAATAAACAAAAAATAGTGGCTTCAAATACCAAATGTAGTGGCTACAAAAACTAATGGCCGCCATTGACCACCACCTAAGTCTGGTGGAATCTATGGATGCATGTCTAGGGTATTAGGTGCACTATTCCTCAATTCTTAATTTATCTTCAACAATAAAAGAAATACTACCCCGTCCCAAAAAAAATACTCTATATTAAGTTTTTAAATTTTTACTAAAAACAGTACAAAACTTAAAAACTCAATATGGACTATTATTTTTGAGACGTACTGTATTACTCTTTCTATCCAAGATCAATAATCCACTACAGATTTTGTTATTTGTACATCCTTTGTTTAAAAAATATAAAAAAATACTCCACAATAAATTTCAAATTTGTATTCAAAACTGTATTTGAAACTATTCTTTGGGAAGAGTTGAGTAATCTTTCTGATTCTTTCTAATTATAAAGCATAAATTTAAATTAATTTTAATGGAGTAATAATTTGTGTGTGAGAGAATTAGGACCCCTTCAACTCAAACACCGGGGGTAACAATGTCTTTTTAGTTTTAGTTCTAATTTAATGTCGGGTTCGGGTTATGTGAGACTGCAAGGAGAGTGGCATTTTCGTTAAAGATTCCGACTGCATAAAATACACACAAAATTTGCAGTCTATTGGCCGAAGCTTTGGAAGATGGTGAAAGCAGTCGTCGGAGAAGAGTCGCGCCTCAAATTGGTCGAAGATCGTCTCAGTCAAGTTGAGGTATTTTTTATCTCCACTTCCAATTCTTATAACCAGTTTATTGTTCATGCGTTGCTGTTATATGAATCAATGCCTAATACAATTGATTCTTGATTGTTGAATTAGATAGGATTGGTGATCGGAAAATTGAGCAAGAGCTTAGACAAAGGCTTCGTTTACGATTTGATTCCGACTCCTCTGAATGACGCCGGAGAGCCTGCTGCTTCGCTGATTGAAACCGCTAGTAGAGATGATACTAAGAAGAAAGGCTCCAAAGCAAAGCCTCAGTCCGACTCTTCCACATTGTTTATCGACAAGGATTGGATCGCTGAACATGCTCGCCAGGTCAATAAATTGATTAGCCACTTTTTACTTTCGCTAACTGTTTTGTTCGTCTCAGTTTAATTGTTGATTTTCATTTTTTTTTCCTTGTTTGAGATAGCTTGTGCAAATGTAATCAGGTTTAGTTTTTATTGTCGTCAGTAGCTTGTTTGAAAAATTCAATGTTGACACATTCTACACGACTAAGCTACACATTAATTAGATTTTTGGGGGTGGAATATCACATATCAGCTTCGATTGTGGATCTCCCCCCTTTTTTTGGATGTTGATGTGAATCATTGCTTACTTTAGAAATGACCAAAGTAATGGATTGATATTGCTAGGTGGTTAATTTGATTTCATGGTGCATTTTGTACATTTTATTCACATTCTGTTCAATTTGTTGTGATAGTTATCATTTTCACTTTTTTATCCGAGTATTTGCTTGGATCCTAGGATCTAAAATGTATTCAGCATTGTATATTTAAGACTATATCAACGTTTACGGCTTTTTTAGTGAATTTTTTCGTGATGTAGTCTGTTAGGAAATATTTGTGTCTCTCTGTGCTGTTCTGCTTAATGCTTTTGAACCAGAAATAATTTTTTTTCGTGCTCCTTGTTTCTTGAAAAGAACTGTTGGGTACGTAAACTTGTTTTCGCATGGACATAAGTAGCAACGAGGTTTTGTTGGATGGTGTGGGTTTCAGTCATCCGCTTATTAGAAATGCTTCATTATCTGGAATCCTGGATGGTGACCAGATTGAGTTTATTTTCCGGATGTACACCTATTTGGGATCTACGTTAAGCCCAGACAGAATACTTGGTTGGCCTATTATTGATGGGGACAACCATCCACGGCTCAATCTTTCTGCTCCATGGAACAATAGTATTCTGTGAAAATATGAACATCTTGTATAACATCACTTGCATTGATTGGGGAGTCGCCCGAGTACTAACAGAGGTTTTCTTTTTTCTCTTTTCCCCAATTCACTTGTATATCAGGTCTCAAGAATGCTGCTTGGTGGCATGATGGTTATTGGTGTCTATATATCAGTCAACGAGAGCTGTTTCAAAAATTCAACCACACTACTCTGTCAGGTTTTGCTGCTGTTGAGGCTCATTCCATGTTTGTGTTTTAATTAATATATCCTATCATGATTGATAGAGAAAACATCTTGTCTCTATAGCCGACTTAATATCAGGTTTAGGGCAGCCATAATCTGACATTTCATTCAAACACACAAAAACTCCTTCTGGTGCATGGTTTTATTGGAAATTTTAGAAGTTCACTGTTATATACACAAATCAACATATTTGTTCCACCAAGGCAGCCTCTAATCAAATTGGACATTTTTCTGCTAAACAAATAAACTATTTCAGATTTTTGATTGTCCAAATTATCTGATGCTACAGCTATTCTATGCTCTTTCAGACTGTCAAAGTAGCTGCTGATGCTGCACCCTCGTTTGACTCTGAAACAGACGAGAGACTTCTCATTCATATTAGTTATAGTCCCAGGAGGTAACTTCAAGAAAAATAAACCTAGTTTTTTGCTCATGTAATATACAATTGCTTATTCTGAAATATTGTATTTCAGATGGACCTGTCGTAATTGTTCGCTGGCAAGTAGTATAACATCTGGTAGTTTACGGCCATGTGATTTCAAGCTAGGAAAAGTTTTGGCTTCCCTGAAAGAGCTGAGATGCATATATAACTTCAGCATAAGGTAAAATACTTTTATCTGACTTCAGCCACATATAAATGGTAAATCTGTACTGTAATTCATACTTAATCATGACTGTTTTTTACAGAAATACTTGCACTCTTTATATTTTAACTTGTTACCTGAACAGGCTTTGTTTTTATTAACATTTTACTGAAATGGCTCTTGGGTTGAGTCTGACATTGTATGATCAAGACAGTAGGATAAAGCTTTTCTTCCCAGCACCAGATTATATCCTACAGCTACCTCGAGTAGTTTTCATTAGCTTTCTTGTTGCTGCAGATTGCCAGTTCACTCAGAAAAGGAACAACGCAGAAATTTCAGTGATGTTCTTCGCCAGGGACTTTCATCTCATACTAAAGCCCTTAAGAGTGCAAAGTGTCTAATCGATGGAAAGCTGGTAGGGATAGTCGTACCTTGGAAAATTTTCATTGTGTTAGACTATTAGCATAGGTTGAAGTTATTCTCTTAACTGGGTGGCATCCATTACTCTTTTGTCTTATGAATCATTTTTCCTTCGTGTTTGAGAATCCTGTTTATTATCTAGATGATTTTGATGACAACCTCTATTTTCAACCCCGGCTGGAAAATCCCCTATGACTCTGTGGTTAGAATTGGGTAAGTTAGAGTTCAATGCATAATTAAAGAAGTAACTACGAAATCAATATTACATTACATATTGGGAATAACTCCTTGAAAGATACAGGAATACATATTTGGATTGAACTACTTGAAAGATTTCTCTGGCAAGGTTTTCATTGAGACTTGCGAAGCATCTTCCTGATCTTGTAAATTAAAGGCAGAATGATCTGAAACAAAGTTTCAGTACCACATTTTTTATGAACCTATAGTTTTATATTAGACTTCTCCTTTCAGATGGTTTGTATAAATGTGCAGGACAAACTATTATCTTCTGTGTATGCTGTTTTCCTCTATCTATTCCTTTCATTTGTTTTTCTGAATTGTACATATGCCAGGTAATTGAGGAAGACCAGTTTGTACCTGATGGTCCGCATGAAGTTGAATTTCTTTTACCTTTTATGCAAGATGTATCTACAGAAGGTTAGATTATCCAGTTATGTCATTATAAATATTTCATTTTCTAATGTTTACTGCTTTATTGATTTTTAAAAGTTTATTATGTACTCTTTTTATTGAAGCATACGGCCAGGACGAGGTGGTCGGTGTACTTGTCTTCAAAGGCTCTGTGTGTTCTTTTGCATACTTGAATCCAAAAGAATTTATTTTGCAAGCTTTGCATGACATAAAGGTACGGAGGTACTCTTTCTTGTGTTTTCAATTACTCCCTCCATTTCAAAATGTAGGTCGTTTGTAGATTTGGAGAAATATTTCAAAATGTAGGTCGTTTTAGGATTTCAAGGCAAATTAAAGATTAACATTCCAACTTTGCCCCCAATAAATGAGGCTAACCACTTTTCATCTAGTTTTGGTTATAGTTCCAAAACAATTAATGAAGGGCAGAATAAACATTTAACACAAAAATTAATCATTAAATGATTGTCTCCTTAGTTTATGTGCAGAGGCTAAAAAGACTTACATTTTGAAATGGAGGGAGTAGTAGATGAGTGGTTGTGACTACATTAACTTTTGCCGTGATCTAGTGTTCGCTTTCGTCTAGATTTATGCTCATGTAGATGTTTATTATGATTAGGAAGACATCATCAAGAGTTTAAATAGTCGATTGGACATCTTGTGTGATGAAGCAGAGGGAGAATCGGAATCAGTAAATAAAGACCAAGAAGCAAGCACTCATACACCGACATCAAAACAAGTGTTGCAGCTTAACTTGCAGTTCAAGAGGTGTTGTTTTGTGACTGAAATAACAATAATTTCTTTTTCCATCATTGTTATACGTTGTTGACATGTTATTAGGCCTCGAAGCTTGACTCTTGTATCTTTATTGACTGGATTGCTGTCCCTTACACAGACAATACTCAAGCCTGTCATTTCCTCGAAGAGTATTCATTCCATGGCTGGCGAGTGCATATATCTGTGACTATGTCCTGCCTTCGGAAACAATTGAGGTTAGGTTACAAAATCCAAATTTCTTTAACTATATAATTTGTAAGTTGCAAGCTGGTTCTAAAATTTTACACCATAGCTTCTAGCTCATGCTTTTCATTTTGTGTTTAGGTTATCAAAGACCATTGTGTTGAGCTGATGTCGATGGAGGCTCCACAAGTTGCTTCTGAAATTTTGGAGCTTGAATCTGAAGCCTCTCTGGTAACCTCAACGACTAAGTCTTTTTCAGACGTTGCAAATTCAGCTTCCAAGTCGGATAGTTCACTTTCAGTCAGAAGTGCAGGAACTGGAAATGCCACATCGGTTCAGAGTGCTACCAAATCAACCCCCTCTACAACCTTCGCAGCCTTATTCGTTCTTTTCATGTCTATTTTGGTGGGTTTGATCCTGCTATTCCTCCGGTCGTAGTTGAGCTCATTGTTTCAGATTTCATGTGTCCGTGCAGAGACAAATTAGTTGCTATAGATTTCACCAATGTACACCGTTTAGGAAGCATTTGAACATTACGGTTACAGGATTTTTGACAGTATGTAACTTTCATTTTATTCACCGGTCACAAAATATGGGCTAGAAATCACATTTTCTATGTTTTACCGAACAAAACAGTAAGCGGAAGCGTGTCCTATTGGACTGTTGGGTGAAAAGAATACAGCGAGAAAAGAAGCCGCAACTAGTGCGTATTTCAGCATCTCAATGTCAATAGACACTAACCCATACGATTATCATTTGTGCTAAATGCTTTGGCCGTGTAAAATGACCATTACAATATCAGCATAGATCTGTTCCTACGCATCTCCTCGTCACTGGATCAATCTTGTTTTTTACCGCCGTCATCACTTGGAGCATCAAGTCCGCTTGGAATTTTACCGGGATAATTAGTTGTGGGAGAATCCGATCCCATCATGCTGCATTTTCAAACACACAGAATTTAGAAGGTTAAAAATAGGGTAAGGCCCGAGGATGGCAAAAACAAACATCGAGATTGATAGTCCCATGTAGACAGCGGTATTAAAGCTTGAAGTTATTCACAACAAGGGAAGAAGAACTAACCTTCTGTCAACAATAACAATGGATCGAAGTTCACAATTGTTAAACCTGCATAGACATAATAAATCAGCCCACAATTCGAACAAATCAACAAACACACAGAAAGAACTACTTTAAACTTCAACAAGAAAGCACAAATTTCATTCTTGGTTCAAATTCAGCAGTTTTCCTTGGTCCGGAAAGAACTAGTTTAAACTTCAACAAGAAAGCACAAATTTCATTCTTGGTTCAAATTCAGCAGTTTTCCTTGGTCCGGAAATATTCATTGGCATACACAACCTGAGCGGGGAAGTGAATGCAATAACTGTTTCAATCCAGATTAACAAGAGTTCTTGAGCACAAACATGCAATGCAGCACTTGCAAAACTTTTTGGGAAACAACGGTAGATGAAGTCTTTAATCTACAGCAATATAAGTCTGAGAAATGAAATCTCAGCAAATTCACAATAGGGAAAGCTTCTTGCTAGTTTGAAATTTATAGGTCACATTTTATAGTAACTGATGACTTGTCAAGAATGATCAGCATTCAATCTTTCCCCAATGCAGATTTTAAGAAAACTTTGTTAGCGAATTCCGAAACAAAAACCAGGCAACTCCAAAATCACAACAAGCTAGAGCACAGTACTAAATGCAGATTTTAAGAAAACTTTGTTAGCGAATTCCAAAACAAAAACCAGGCAACTCCAGAATCACGACAAGCTAGAGCACAGTACTAAAATCAATTGTAAAAGCAGGCTATTTAGTTTACTTCCTAAAAGACAAGATTCATCAAACCACAGAATCCGCAAAGAAATTAATGCCAAACAAATATTATTGTTATCCATTCACCCCATAATTGACAAAAAAAAAAAAAAGGACAAGACAGAAGAGCGTCCAAATGAAGTTTGATAAATATTTAGACAGGACTTGCAGTTAACATATTCAAGGCTTGATTAAAATAAAGCCAATCTGCATATGAAGAACTTACGGACTGCATATTTCACTCTTCACTTGTGGATGGCAGTCATTCCCATATTGAGCTAGCGTATGAATCAAGAAACCGCTGTGAGTAACGACTACAATTTCCTTCTCTTTTCGTGTCCACAGCCTGGAGGATTTTCAACAGTATTGAAGGAAAGATATCACAAGATAGCAGCAAACTAGTAGATGGCAGTTCAAAACAAAGGATTGGGACACTCACCACTCCAAAAACTGTTTCCCCCTAGCAGCAAGATGTTCATTTGTTTCCCGGACATCAGGTGTCCATAAAACGTCATCATCATTTTCAATCTGAAGAGGAAAAAAGCAAATAATATCATTTAATAGTATCAACCTCCTAAAAGGACCCAGACAAAGATAGAAACTATAATTCTTTGACATTGCTGAAATGGAATAAAACCCAAAACTACTAACCAATGAAAAATCAATCGCAGGAAAGACATTCTTGTACTCGCTTATACTTCTTCTCTTATCACACCAATGAACTCCCTGGAAAATGATAACATTGCAGTAATTGGGTGTAATGCAGTAGCTCATTAAAGATAAACTATGCAAAAATAAATATAGAAAGCAAAAAGCTTAAAACTGTATCAAAAACCCAATTTGAGTTGAAAAGCAGTTCAAATCACGTACCAAATGTTCCCTACAAAGTTCTACAGCTATGAATGGAGGGCAATTTAGACTTGAAATTGCTGGTCGGCTACTATCTCCACCATTTTCTACCATCAGTGGAGGAACATCTATCCCGTCTTTGTAACTTTCTCCCCCAAAGATGCCAACTGCTGTCTGCATAGTCCTACAAAAACCATGAGGCATTATTGGGCTGTGTCATGCCTTCGTGTTCCATAATTCATTGTTAAAAATAACTGATACATTGAACATCAGGATCCCTTCACATCTTTCAGATGAAATTCCTGATTTACTTAAGATCTCATGGGTAAACTATTTCAAATTCTACTTTATCTTCCTTCATTTTGCCTTTCAATGTTCATGCCCTCAAGTGTACTAATCTAGTGAACAGATTTCAGCCTTAACATTCTTGCAGACAATAACTATTGAATTGTAAGCTGAGTTTTTGGATTAGAAGATTGTAAGAGAATGAGCTATTAGAGCACGAACACAATATGTATAGGCTTTGTTAGGTGTACCTCATTAATGGGGAGCAAATGACTAGTTCAACCTTCTTCGAAAGTCCAATGGACTGAACATGCTTCCGGAGATTATCTACCTGCAACAAAATTAAATCAGTTCCAAGTGCTGCTCCCCCTCTTCGTAACTCCCCACATCAAAAACACAAACAAACATACATAACCTCCAAAAGAAGAGTTTCCTACAACCGAAAACAGGAGAACCACTATGTACATCTCATTATGCAGTCTACTACACTATTTGGAGAGACAAATTTTTCACTCTCCACACGAAATATTTAACTAGAGCAATAAAGTAGTCTTTCTAAATAGAACAGTTTCAAATCACATATTTTGGTCTCTATGACTACCAACAACAACAACAACAACATACCCAGTATATTCCCAAATGGAGCTGGAAGAGTCATTATTGACAATTCTTTCAGCTATGTGCTAATAATCGATTAGATCAAAATGGCTCATTTAAATTCTGACGCTTCTTAATTTGGTGAAATTGCCGGAAATAAATATATCAATGCACCAATGCATTCATACTACTTAGTCTCTATGACTATAACTGTTGTAAATCGGGGCCTCAGTCCTTTATTATTATCTAAAAATCTTGAAACCGCAAACCAGAAATTCATCCAGTGGAGAAGATTTACCTGCTGCCAACCGATAGGTGTAAGTTGAGCATCCAAGAGTTCTGGAGACAAGTATGCACTGTGGTCTTTTTCTCCAGCAACATTATGAAACCCTTGGGCATGCCTTACCTACATAAATATCACATGCACAATACATTAAGTTATCCTCATGGAGGGAACGATGAGCAGGGAGAGGGTTCACATCATATATATAAGTTACAATGACAGATATAGTTTAAGCATGCAATATATTAATTATTGTGCAAACCAATCAATAGAAAATCATTATTCAGGGTACTATAGTGGGAAGGAAAAAGACAAACCAGGTGAATAGTTTTGCAGCGATGCAGCGGGTACAAACCTTGACCAGATGACGCATCCATTTCTGCAAGTAGAATCCAAACAAATGCTCACTAAACAAATTATAAGGAAACGTAATTAAAAGGTAAGAAAAGAAGACTGCCAATATTCTCCCAACACAAACAACTCATGTGCAAAACCACTGTAACATTTGGTGCACAACCAAAAGCTAAGGGAATAGCTGTGTGCTAAATTTCAGAAAAGATGCAGGTGTTCCAAACTGTTGCTCAATAACTCCAAATAAATCACAGGCTTATAGGTGCCAGAAAAGTAAAATAAACTGTGGAATGAAACAATCATTTTGTAAAGGACAATACATGTTCTAAGGATGAAGAAAAAAGTGAAAACTGGCTTTCGTCATCGGCATGGTAAGGGTGACACAACTGGACAATGAAAGTATCAAGGCAAGGCCACCAATCCCAATGGAACAAGTTTACAAGTTTCCAAGAGCAAAGCAAGTTATATATATCTCCTCTAGAGCATAAAAAAACATGAAATGACTCCTGACACCACGAAATGCTTGCATTGTGCAATAAAAAACATGACTTCATCACAAGAAGGAATGTGATACTTCTGCCAAATGTAAACATAACAGAGCCTACCAAAATAAAAACTATAAGATCTCCATGGAAACCACATCAATTTCTCAAATCACAATCTATTGGAGATTCCATCCGAATACTCAATTTCATGTGACTGATATAGTTTTAGACCTATGCTACATAAGCATTTCTACGATTTTAACGCTCCCATTCCCCGAAATATTTTAAGCATCACGCCAAATTCATACCTTAAACTTCAGAAATAGTAGAAGATGCACAAATACATGTCATCACTCGCATTTGCTATCCTATCCTAATCAAACAAAGAAATAACCGCAGGCCTTACAAACATATATTGATTATCAATATGCTTATACATAAATTCTATCACCATAAAAGCTCGAATCAAGGTGCAAAAAGACATAACCTTCCCTCGCGAGTTCAAAACAACGAACATTTTGCCATTCAATTGGAGATGCAGCAAGCATTTTCATCGGATCATCCAGAAAAGAGAATAAAACTCAATACATTTACGATTAAAAGAACAGAAATCTATAGCATTTGGACATACCTTGTACTCAACTAAGCAGAAAAGCAGAATAACACAAACTCACACAGTGATTGAATTGGCGCCAAAAAAAAAAAAAGAACGAGTAATCTCAATTAAAAAGAACCAAAAAAAAAAAAAAAAAACACGCACACACGCAGTGACTCCTGTTACACATCTATAACAGAGAAAATTGATTTCATTTACCGTTAAAAGAAGAAGAGGAAGCGAATGGCCGAGCAGCACGGGGCGAAGGAGGAAAGCGAAGTCGGTGGTGCTTTCTAAGAATAGGCGGCTGGTGGGGAGGAGATTTGATTTTGAGCGGTGGATTATGATTGCAAATGGTGCAGTTAATAATACTCCAAATGGAAGCGGAACTCTGCAATAATTCCAGCATTAATTAATATATTATTAACGTATTACGTGCTTCTGCTTATTTGGCGGATCCGTTAACTCCCCGTACTCTGTGTGTGTGTGTGTGAGAGAGAGTTCTTGTGCCTTTTCAATTTTCACGCTCCAAAACTAGTGGTTTGAGTTGTACGATACGGAAGAACTCAAGAAAGTGTTGCGACTTTTATGTAAAACAGTTTTACTGGTCCCGCTGTGTATTGTGTTACGTGTCGACTACACACGAGCGTATGAGATTGGGGCACGTCAGTGGATTTTTTTTTTTATTCAGGTCCAGAATTAGTTGTTATTCGCAAAAACCCAGGCTGATTTCGTGATTCCAAATAGTAATAAGCATATGCTTACGATTCCAAATTTGATCCCCTTCCTCGAATCTGGAATTCGGTTCAGAAACCCAAATTGGGGAAACGAATTTGATAACACTCTACTCAAAATGAAAAATCCGAACCAAGCAATAATTCATAAGCGGGAAGAGTACAAAGGATCATTGTTTCTTATATTGATTTTGACGAGTCCATATCTACTAAGGATTATCGGACCAGCTCATCCACCAATTAGGGCTTAACCGACCTTATAGAGACAGTTCAGGAATATGCTTCCTAATGGGATTCGGCTTTCTTGAAGGTAATTCTATGCCTATAAATAGGATTGTTCTCACCACAATTGATGTACGTTATCTTTAACACCAATTTACATACACAGATTATTTCGCAACTTTATTTTCTGACTTAAGTTTCAGAGTGTCTACCCTCGAGAGGTCCCGAGACTCTGTTTTGCAGGAAACCCTAACCGGAGTTCCACCTCTAGATTGTAGGTGCAATTCTACGTATTGTCAGATTTCAAAGGGAAAAGAAATTACGAAGTTTTCTAATTAAAATTTCATTTTGATCAGGTGGTTAGACATAGAAGAAAATTGGTATTTTATTTAGAAAAATAAAAGCAAAGAATAAACTAATGGAGTGAAGGACTACATTTTTGATTTTCTTTATAAACTGAATACATCAAATGCCTTTTTATAGGCTTAGTTTACAAATATGATAATTATGTAAATTAACTAATTTTATTTAAGTGATAAAGATAAGTAATTCACTTGAAATAACCAACTAGATGAAACTAATCTAAGACTTCTAATTTCTTTGTGCTTTATCTCTTAACAGACATAACGTCATCAAGAGCTTTCACCAATAGGGCGTATCCTAGTGTAGGATATTAGTCATTTGGTCTTTTTTTATTGTGCAAAAAAATAAAATAATTCATAAGCGAAAAGAGTAAAAAATTAAGAACAAATACTAACTAATTAGTAAATGATGAACGCCGATATCCAAGAGTGCGAGTCAATGGTGAGCTACATTTGACTTGTTGTTTCTTTGTCCTAAAAAAGATATCCTGGTATAATCATTATTTTAACATGGAAGAAATATATCTAACATTAAAAATTTCTCTGCATTTTGCTTTGGAGTTTATACCAATATCACATATACTGTGCCATTCACATGATTTATGAGCATCATTTTTAACCTAATTTGTGGCTTGTGAACAATGATGCTATATTGCACACTCCACTCATTTAAATCAGTCGAAAAATGATAATAAAATTTTGCTTTAATCTCCTGATTCCTGAATTTAAAGACATTTTCTTAAAAAATGGAAAAAAAGGGCGAAAATGGAACATAAATCCTCCTGTCTATATTTTTTTTTCAATTGAAATTAAACATTAAAAATACTTTATAATATAATTAGGAGAACATAATAAATGTGAAAACACATTTCAAATATTTTATTTTCGATTAGAATAACACAATATATGAAATTTTGAAGAAAACCTATAATAAACATCAGAGAGAGTACGTTATTTGGGCTGGGGTAAGCCCCGCAAAGCTGCCCTCCGCTTTACTGTTATTTGTTATCAGTGCTCCATGTCTCCATCAGTATTCATATTTCCAGTTCGAGCTTCCTGAGCCATCGACGAAGTCAATCCATCAGCAATCTCTTTATTAGCTTCCAATAGAGTTAATTATCCTATGCACTCGACCAACTAGAGCCCAAAAATATTCGCAACCTTTACCCAACAATATCATTAAAGCCCAAGAACTATAAGATTGTGCGTGTTAAACCTGAAATGGACTAGATAAACAGAAAATATTGTTCAAAATGATTTCCCCATAGCCCACAGAACCTAAATTCCATTTTCACCCTTTTTCCTTTCTTTAGGGAAAGGATGTTTTTTTTGGATGTTACCGGCAAAAACCCTAAACATGATAAATGCACCACACATTTGGTATTAAGGATACGATGATTATATCGTGTTATAATTTATATTTATAAGAATGATTCTATCGTGTTGAACTAAATACCTATTGAGAATTCTTAATTCGGTATTACAAGAAAAACTATGTAAATTTATCGTAAAATTTGACTCTCGATATATACATACAATTTCCCGGTCTAACCTCCTAACAAATGAATCTCGAATGTGACTTGATTAATTTTGCAACAGACAATCAACTGTTCTATCTCATGTATTTCATTTTACGTTGTGGTCTTACCCTTTTTTTTTCATCAATTTTTTTTCCCAGTGGTCCTTACTCTACACGTTCTCCTAGTGAATATTGATTGTTGAACTGGGGCAGCAAAACCACATTAACATTAATGGAAGCAAGATCAAAACAACATTAACGCATATTTATATCTAAAAAATGGTCGTTACATGCATATTCATACATATGAAATTCACCACTTCGAATAAGACGTTGTATGCATTATGCATGATTTTTCCAATTACGTGCCTACTACTTATTTATTTATTTATTTCGCATATGTTTACATCGTAGGTTAGGTCAAGCTCTTCCGTGATTGCATAGGTTTTTTTTTTTTTTTTTGAAAAAAATGGTATAATTTATTTTGAGATAAATTTGTGCGGTCGTGTTTCTGGAAGATTCAATCAATATAACTGAAATTATAGATCACAGTTTCTATCCATATGCATGAATTCTTATAAATTAGGAAAATTGATCGAATTATTCAGTCGATAACATTACAAATTTATTTTACAAAAGTGAATGAAGAGCTAATAATCTCACAGAAGAGACAAACACTTGGCCATCCATTCGAATCAAAATTGCTCCAACATTTGCGCACTATTGATGATCAGGTGGGCTACGTGTAGGAGTTCCTGGAAATTTCCCAACCCAACTTAATTATAAGTAATTAAATTAAATAATTATATAGGAAACCAACCATCTTTTATCTCTTCCCACCTTGTAGGGCATCCACAAATTCGGCTGGGCCTCCCCCGGCGGCTAAGGAAACCGTCTATGCATCTCCTCGTACGGTCGTCGGACTTAACTTTTGTTGTTCTTAAACTTTTAAATGAGGTGGAATAATGTAGGTTAAAAGAGAGGCATTTATTTAGATTGGCAAACACAAAAAAATATGAAAGAAACTAAAAGGTGGTTGCAGTATTTTTCATATACTGCTTCAAAATGATCGTCATATTCGTTAAGTTAAAATAATTTAATTTTAGGAC